AGATATGTAAGGATCGTGACACTTGGCGATCTGTTCTCTCTGGCTACCCCGTCAGGGATTGTGCGTGAAGATAAGTAAGAACTTTTTGATTTTGTTTGAAATACTGAATATCTATATCTTTATAATAAGGTAATATTGGTGCGTAAGAAATGTAATATTTCGTTTTTAACATGGTGGTCTTAATATTTATCTATTAAACTGATTCGACAAAGTTACCATACTAGTGATATCACGATGTGACGGTTACTTTGCCTTGTTTTGCTACAACCAAGGGTTGTCACTTTCAACCTATATTGCATGCCGAGCACAAAGCGCATAGGTATGTTCTACTAGCGCCTAAAAATCAAGATTCCAACGTTTTATTCGCATGAAATCGTATCCAGCAATCATATTATACATATAAATGATATAAAAAGCACATTGTCAGAAAGATAAATGATTGTTGAACTTATAATTTTTTTTTAAATCGATCAATTGCTATTTTTACAAAAAAAGGGGTTTTAGTGGCTTATGGTGTGAATTTATTAAGTCCTCAAGGCTTGTAAACACGATAACTTTTGAAAATATCAATTGTTTAACTCAATCTATTTTTCAATCTCTTCATCTATCATGTGGGAAGCCACTGAATGTAAATGGCAGTGTAATTTTGATTTGTTTAGCTATAATTAATTTTTTTCGGCTCCAAAATGGCGAAATTTTCGGTGATTTCATAGCCTTGTGTTAGAGTTTATTTCAGTAAATAGAGACTGCCTGTGCCTCGCTCACTCGCTCGCTTAGTTCCACAGAACACTAATACCCTTAGGCGGGCGTATGCTTAGTTCGGCGTCAGTTAGGTTAGTTCCGGTTTCAGTTTCGGCCAAAACCGAAACTGAAACTGGAACTTAATTAGACATTTTAATTATTTTTATTGTATACTGAAATCTGGTATATTTTTATACATATACAGATAGGTAATGCATGTTAATGAAAAACAGTCATTCTAATAGTCATGTAGCGATATATTTATTTATTTTAAAGCAAAAATCAACAATTTAACGCTAAGAAATACTTTTTAAGTCATTTTGCAAAAAAAATTAACACTTCACGCATAAAAAGTTTATCTTTTTTGAGTTTAATTGAGAACATATTTTATTGTGTTCACAATATTGTTAATATTATTCAATGAAAGCATTAACTTAATATATCACACTCACGCACTTACACACAATTAACAAAATATCAGAAAATATACAAAACCTGCTCAAAGTTCAAAAACTTTAAACTAAGTTTGTGTAAAAATGGTTATTATAATATTAAGGAATTTATGGATGATAATAACCGCTGGGAATGAGGTGATCACTATCAAGCTATTTCTAATTTGTTTACCGAAGGTTCGGCAGAATTTATGCCGAAACCGAAACTAGATTTTTTTGCCGAAACTTGCCGAAACCAAAACCGAAACCGAATCTTTGGCCGGTCACTATTTTTCACCTTAGTGTGTTGACATTTAATTGGCACCCAAAGAATAGTGTAATTTTTAATGATTATGAAGGTTTTGCTATTGTAGGAAAACGATATTATTTAGGTTGAATACAATTATTTTATTTTATCTGATCGTAACAAAATGATAATGAAACTAATTAAAAAACCAATTTAATACGAATTTAATAAAACAAGATTTAAATAAAAATAAATTGTGCGTGTAATTGTGTACACATGTACGAAGTGAAACTTCTTTACGACATATATTTTAAATTTTACAATACTTTATGTTTTACATTATATTATTTTATTTTATATTTTATATAAGTAGGTTAATTAAGGCTTACGCAAAAAAAAGTTACAAGAAAACGTGACATTTTTACCGTACTAAATTTCTTCACTACGTAGAAAATGAAGTTTTACCTCAAAAATTAACTGAAGAATATTTTCAAGTATAAAAAATTGAATAATGGGTGGGCAAATTTGCCACTAGCTTAAACTTTGTTACTTGCAACACAGTTAGAGGATCAAATCATAACTCTGAGTATTGTCTATTATATTATGTGGTAAACTTACTTTCATCCTTCAAGCTAAATCCTATTACTTTCATTAAAAACCCCGATTACAAAGTTGCTACAAAGTAAGGTTATCTTTGCCATTTTCTTATTATGAGTATGTTGTCTATTTAATATTAGTATTTGTTAAAATCACTAAACATGAGCTGTTCGAATCCTGGGTCGGGTCGAAATCAGTTATTGGATTTTCTCTCAAGAAATTCTCAGTATCAGCCAGGAGTCCAGGAGTCAGGTGTTAGTAGTGTAGTTGTACCACTTCTAGACCACCTGAGTCAGACGTGGTTCAACGACGTTCGTCGACGCCCGATCCTAAAAAAAAAAAAAAAAAAGGTTTTGGCATACTCTGATCACGAATCCGCGGTCCATTTTTGTGTAGAATGCACGGTTCCGGAGATGTGTAGATCAATTAGCTAATATCTAATTGATATCCGGTAAGGGCCTCCACCGTCATTAGCGTCCCATTGTTGTTCCTATTTCTATTGTTCTATTGTTCATTAATCACCCTCATTGCAGCGTGTGCGTCGACTATATCAGTGCTATTGTTTATTATAATTCTTTGTTTATACAACGCTAATCTGAATCATCAATAAAACACATTACATAATTTTGTTACAATTTTTATTTATAAAATACAAAATCTTATTAATTATTATCTATAAAATAGGAGCGAAACATCTCATCCACTAAAATATCGTTGTACAATGTGTTCCTTGTAAATATACTCGTAAAACTATGTATTGAACATCCTTGAAACTTATATAGTAAATACATTAAGCAATATTCGCCACAAACTGAAGTCCACTCATTCTGAATCCTATCAACATTCCAGTTCCATCTTTTACAATTCCTTTTTAAAAACTCTAGATGATATCGTACAGGTGATCGTCCATATGAATCAAAATATTGACCGACGTCATTCGTATCGATATATAAAGCTACCCAATGTGACCCTGGTTTATCATCTGTATCCAAATTACATATTATATACGTTGGTACGTGGGTATACATAGGCAGTCTATTAGCTGCATAAACATTATTTTCTAGACTGGGGTGAATCTTTTTCAGATGTTGTTGTACATCTAGTGTATCCATGATATTACTGCTATTAGTAGATTATTACAGTACCTAGCTACTCAATGAATAACATAGGAATGGTCAATTATAGTGATTTCTACATATTAAATTGCATTTTTGTGATATACAAATCGTACTTGAGTCATTGATCACCAAACAAAACACAATACGAAGAAATGTTGAGATAGGCAACGGAAATGTGAGATAAACTGGTTGACGCATAAAGTAATTATCAACTCATTACGGAAATACTTTAGATTAGAATTTTTACGTACTGGTGGTATATAAGACCAACAAACGCAGTCATCGAGTTAGTGTACGGTCGTTTGGCTACAGTGGATCTATCAATAGTACATTTGTGTTACTTCAATACACCAAAGGCTATGGATGTAAGTGTTTATTCTATTGACTAAATTACTTTTTTTCTGTTATTTTCATGTGTGTGTGTATTATTTTATTTAAATATTGTGTATGTATATGATTAAGCCGTGGTAACTCAGATGGTTAGCGCTAGCTGTAAATTTCACAGTACGCGACCCGGGTTCGATCCCCGCCAGCACCAATTAAATTGTTAATAGCAATTTTAAGTGCTTATTACCACGTGCTTGGTGGTGAAGGAAAACATCGTGAGGAAACCTGCATGTCTGAGAAAATTTCGAAGGCATGTGAAGTTCACCAACACACATTGAGGGAGCGCGGCGGACATTTCCTTGCTCTAAAACCCTCTCAGAAATGAGAGGAGGCCTATGTTCAGCAGTGGACTTTAATAGGCTGTAACTTTAACTTTTTTAACTTTTATGATTAAGTGTTAACAAATTGATATTAACATGATAACTGTGTTGTTGCAGAAATCATTGAGCTTCGATGAAGATACCTATAAACAGTATTACTACTCGCCACTCTCCCCTCAAGAAGAGAGTGGTAACCTCGTCATTAATAATAACACATGCGATGGTGGAAAAAGAAAATCGCAATCGATTGATCATTTTTTTGAAGCTGAATCAAAAATAAAAAAGAGGAAGCTGTTATCATCAACCGTAGCACGAGCCGCTAGAGATGGTGTATCATACATTTCTACTAATTCTGACGACGGAGACCAAGCGACGCATCTCATCAAAATTGAAATGTACGATATGAAGAAGCTATCCAAGATTCCAACTACTGATCATTGGAAACATGCTTCCACGAGAAGTAAATATTACGTAAAGACTAATAAGGATAGCATCTACGACAATACAAACGCCCTCGTATACAATATAACAAAGACAATAGCAGAAAGTGAAAAAGTTAAAAAATACTTTTTTAACAATGACAGTCATTAGCTGATCATTAGTGAATGTGATTCTGTTTACTTCAATTACAGGAAGACAAGAGCGGAAGGAAGAGATGAGTGTGGCATACGTGTACAAAATACATCATTGAATAACAAAACTACAACACTGAGTGGAGAAGAAAACGAGAAGAGTATGCAGTACACAAGAGCTGAATATCCATTCTTCAGTTCAAAATCTAGCCGTTTGCTTAGTTTCGAAAACTGGCCTCTAGTTATGCGACAGAAACCTGAAGATCTTGCCGAAGCTGGTTTCTTTTATACTGGCCATGCAGACGGGACCAAGTGTTTCCATTGTGGTGGTGGTGGTTTAAAAGATTGGGAAGATGATGATGATCCTTGGCAGCAGCATGTTCAGTGGTTTAGTCAGTGTGCTTATGTAAAATTTCAACTCGAACAGTGTTTTGTATTAGATTAAATAGAAGATTTATAAAGAAATAAAAAAAATATATTGCATACAATTTGTTTTATTTAATTTTATAACGTTTCACATAGTTACATACACACAAAATGCATTACACATAACACATAAAATCTAACACACAACACATATTATAACCTTAACTACTATAGTCTACAGTAACATTTCTGTTTTTATCTATCTCAATAATATTATCAAACTCAGCATAAACTATACAGTTAATTGTTTGTATTAATGAGGATTCAAATCGTACTTCTATTCTTACACTACCATGCTTTATGAGATTCCAATGAGTTGATGAGTTAGCTGATAAATCAGGAGTTAAGTCAAATGCTAATAGACAGTAACCTTTGCCATACTGTTCACAAGAGATTCCATTTCCTTCATTAAGAAAGTGAATACCAGTTCCCGAGAATAGAGTATGATATGCTGATGTAAATATGCTATTATTAAAAGATGGTTGCAAAGCTTTTGAAGGTATTTGTTGACCATCAATATATAAGCTGAAAGAATTAATACCATAGTTTTCAAAGTTAAATGGATTTTTAGTAAGGGAACCATTAAATGCAGAATTGTTCACAAATCCAATTATACATCTTTTCGGTACCTGTCCTAAAAATATATTATCAAGAGTTTTTCCTTGAACACCTGAAGGAATTGTTAAAACTTTTACTTCAGCTCGAGTAATAGGATATTTAGCAGTGGTAGAAGCTAAAACTTTTTGATGTGCGAGTAATACACTTGGATTAATTCGTGCTCGTCGCACAATAAGAGTTGCGTCCGTAATGCAAACTTTAAACTTTACATCGTTCGACCCAACAATTAAATTAAAACTCTCTCTTGATCGAACCAATTTAACACTCATTTCAACACCATTAATTAAAAATTTATCTTGGTTAAAAATGTCACCGTGAAGATGACCAATCATTTCTATTTCCTTACTTTCACTAATCAATTCCTGTCTTTTAACAAATCCTATGTTTTTACCATCTGTAGAATCCATTTTTCCTGCTGTATCCTCATACCAAAGGCTACAAGTAAGATGAGATTGTTTAGCAGCAGGGGCATAGTTTAAAAGGGTTTCCATGTATGTTCGATATGCATAGGTATTATTAGGTGGTGATACAAGTTTTTGGTTTAAATAAACATCAAGTTGACTAAAAAGTGAATGCAGCCAATTATTTACAGGTGCTACTATTGTAGTAGATACCAAGTTAGTTGAATCTTGATTTAATACTTTTGCCTTTATGTGGAGTAATGTATGAGACAAATCTATGTAGTCATCGCCGGTCCCAGGAACTTGAAACTCGATAGGTCCATCATCACCAAGAGATGAAATTGGTTTATAATGAATCCACAATCCATTTTCAATGCTAGTTTGTGTAGACGGTAGTGCAAACAAATCCAATTCTGACTTAACGCACTCGCAAGAATGATTATGAAGGAAAGACATATTTAGTTTGAAAATATATCTTTGATATTTTTTGGTTTTAGACTAAGTTTTTTCGCAGCTTTCACTTTAGCAGTTAATGGTGGAATGAACGATGTCAATCGTTTTCTTTTAGTTTTATACCCAGATCCAGTCATGTTAAATTGATCAATTTTCTCATCAGCCTTTCGTTTTAAATTCGTACTAACTTGCTTTAGACGATCTTTTATTGAGGCTTCCATAGGACGGGCTTGAACCATATCCGATAAAAGTCCTACTCCAGCGCTTAATGCCTCCTTACCAATCACTCGAGCACCACTTGAAAGTAAAGGTAAAACTGATCTGAATAACCCCCCTAAGAAGCTCCCAATACCATGACCGCGTTGATATGGTGAACCCTTATAAATTACTCCAACTCCTGATCCAGCTTGATGTGTATAATAATTTTCATATGGACATTTATGATGATCACGAAGAGAATTCATTATTATAATTTTCGGAAATGTAGTTTAATACACACGGTTCCAAACTGGAATGGTATTTTTTGTCCTGTACTCGATCTTATAACTATTTCCAACGTATCGAACTCTCTTCGCATAACAGGTAAGTAGTGAGGTTGAGAGAAAACGTGCATTTTATTTGCACCATAAATGTATTTTGTAGGATCTAATGAAATGACTCTTAATAAAGGAGTCATAACATCACCCACAATCTGAGGATCGATAATGTCGCAATATAGAAATAGTTGAGATGGTAACCCTAAGTGTAAATTAGCAGGACACTTTCCAAAATTTCTCTCTAGGAGATTTTTATTTGGTTCATAACCTAGCTGTAAACTTAATTTGGGTGATAATGTTACGGATGTTATATTTTTATCCAATACCGAAATAGACACAAATTTTGTTATTTCATCATAGCGAAATTTCAAGTTCTCTCCGATACCATTTAACACTCTTAAAATATGCTCAACGTTATCATAGTTGGTAGCTGGAATATGTTTTTTGTAGTACACTGTGGATGGCTTATCTTCATTAGGCATTAACATAGATTTTGTAATGTATATAACATTTTCATGGTCTTGAACAGTAAACATGGTACATGGATATTGAAACTCGACAACTCCAACCGACCATTCACCTTCTAATTTTATAGCTTTTGGTAATTTCGTTGAAAAATTTGTGGTCTTGTTATCAGGAAAGTATTCCATTGAACTATTGCTGAGCAAAGTTAAATAGAAACTTTCTTTATTCATATTTCTTTTAAACTAGAAGCTAAAATCCAACTGTTAAATTTATCTGGATAACCTTTCCACTTCACTAATACTTCTTTTCTGTTACTTGAATAACGAGTGTCAATTATTTTATCTATTTTATGTTGTGAGGTGGGGTTGTAAGTGATTTTCTGTAATTCTCTTTCATAAAAAGTACCAATTATTGGTTCATTTTGTAAATCTGTTATTGTATAAACAACCCATGGAGATCTATCAATTATTGAAGATATAATAAATATTTCATCACTCCATCATCATCATCATCATTACAGCCCTTCACAAGTCCACTGCTGAACATAGGCCTCCCCCAAAGAATGCCACAAAGCACGGTCCTGAGCCACCTGCATCCATCGACTTCCTGCATATCTTACCAGGTCGTCACTCCATCTAGTGGGGGGACGCCCTACACTTCGCCTGCCGGTACGAGGCTGCCACTCGAGAACCTTTCTTCCCCATCGGTTGTCGGTTCTTCGAGCTATATGGCCGGCCCATTGCCACTTCAGCTTACTAATCCGTTGGGCTATGTCGGTCACTCTAGTTCTACTGCGGATATCCTCATTTCTGAGTTTATCACGCAGAGAAACTCCGAGCATAGCCCTCTCCATAGCTCGCTGAGCGACCTTGAGCTTCCTCATCCGGCCAGCAGTGAAGGACCACGTCTCAGTTCCGTATGTCATCACTGGCAACACGCACTGGGTGTACAGTCTCGTTTTCAAGTTTTGAGGTATACCTGACGAGAAGATGTGCCGTAATTTCCCGAACGCTGCCCAACCGAGTTGAATCCGTCGATTGACCTCTCGGTCGAAGTTGGACTTACCTAGTCGGACTATTTGTCCCAGGTAAACATACTCGTCAACAACTTCGAGCTTAGTGTTCCCAACAACTACCGGCATAGGTGTGACATGGACATTAAACATGATCTTTGTTTTGTCCATGTTCATCTTAAGACCTATCCGTTGGGAAACACTATTGAGGTCATTGAGCATAGTGCTTAGGTCCTCCAGCGATTCTGCCATAAGGACTATATCGTCGGCAAATCGAAGGTGAGTGATGTACTCGCCATTGATGTTGATACCGTATCGTTTCCAGTCCAGAAGCTTGAAAACATCTTCCAATGCAGCGGTAAAGAGTTTCGGGGATATGACGTCACCCTGGCTTACACCTCTCTGCAATTGGATAGGTTTCGTACTCTGTACTCGGATAGCCATCGTAGCCCATCGTAGTTTCATCACTCCAATTTGATTCATATCCTTTTTGGAATACATGTTTATATTTAGTTATTCGAACATAATCACCCACATTGAAATTTGGTTTAGGATTTTCTAAAGAAAGTTTTTTTGACCGTCTATCATAAAGATTAGTCCAAACTGTCATAATATTGTTGGAATTTACATCACATGGGCACATCTTAATACTAGAGTGAAAGCTGTGATTATAAGAGTATATTAAATCTTGTAAAACATCTATATATCTAGAAGTATTATTATGAGTGAAATAACGCCACATTTTCATTTTTAGTGTTCTTTGAAATCGTTCAACAATACTGGCCTTAATGTCAGGATTGTTAGTGGTATTGTAACTAATCTTTTTGGATTTAAAGTATTTTTGTACATCTTTTGAAACAAATTCTGTACCTTTATCGGATTGTATGTGAGTAGGTGTTAAATTACTTTCAGTAAATATACTTTCAAAACATTCTTTAGTTGTTTCTGAGTTTTTCTTTTTCATTGGTCTTGCAAAAGCATATTTACTAAATACATCAATAATACAAAGTATATACTTGAAACCATCATTATATTGAGAATAAGTTCGCATATCACTTAAATCAGCTTGCCACAGTTCATTAATATTTGATAGAATGTACCTATTACGCGGGAATTTTTTTCGAATGGGTTTATGTAATATGTATGTTTCTTGTGATTTTAACCATTCCTTTACTTGCTTTTTATTCATTTTACCCTTCATGGCTTTTGATAATTTATCAATACTACCAAAACCAGCGGGATTAGATGGATCATAATAAATCCTGTTAATTTCTTCTAGTACGGAGTCCATTTTTCCCACTCAAGTCCTTTACGTATTTTAGTTGTAGACTTTTTATCTCTACTGCACGGTGTAGAAAACTCTTGAACTTCAATCTCAGAGGGTTTGTTCAGATCTTTTGCTTGAAGTTGGTTAATAAACTCACATCTCCTTGGATTTCCAATATAAGTAAGTGGTACTTTAATATCTTTTAATGCTTCAGCAAATCTAACCCACCCTACCGGATCACTTCTTTTTAGGGGTCTTAGTGAATCATTTATTAAATCAACAATATTACTTCCAGGAATTTTTTCACTATCAATTATGACTGTACCTTCGTTATCCCAATGTATTTTACTTTTACTTGTTTCAACTAAGTTTAATAATAACTGCCCTTTTTTATGATAAGTTTTTGGTATTAAACTGAGTATTTGAGCTGGTGTGTAAAGTGGATTTTCATCATTTTCTTTACTTTTAATGGATCGATTCTCCTCCAGCAAAGATTCAATATCAACTGAAGTTTTTAGATCTCTATCTTTATTTTTAAAACCAATTTTTGACTCATTTGAATCTTCATTAGATGTATCAGAATAAATTGGTAATTTGAGTGGTTGACGATCCTCTTCGGTAAAATGAAGGTATCTTTGCAGTGTTTGTAAATATAATATCCATTTCTTTCGGTCTTCCGTCTTACTATTCATAATATTTTGCATTTCAATATCTAATCGAGATAAATTACTATTAACCTTATTTTCTTGTTTTAATTTTTCAATCAATCCAGGTTCGATAAGTATCATTTTCTTTGCATTTTCCATGTTAACTGGCTAGTCCACTCACTAATCCACTCAATATTGCACCTAATATTGTTGGTAAGAAAGCCCCTCCTTTTTGTATAATTATATTTTTTCTTAGTTTATGTTTACACTTACGTACTAGTTTACGGAGTATGTTTTTATGTTTATTCAATTTTTGTTTATCCTGATCTTTAAGAGGTACTTTTCCTTGTAAAACGTTATGAATACACTCACAAATACAGTTAATTTCTTCTTCATCACACGTTTTAAGTAATGCTCTTTGATATTTTGGTTTAAGCGTATGCAAAGCGGTTAGCAAATGTTTATACGTTGTGAGTCGACGATGCATCATTTAGCAATGCTTTCAATTGTTTGATTCTTGGTGTATTTAAACTCTTTTGTGGGGACGTAGACTGTACAGAAACCATTAAATGGAAAGACATTTGTCTTGATACGACAAAAATCATTGGTATTCTGTTTTAAATCTACCATTAAATATCCATGCGCCTCTAGAGTTGCATCCCTGTAGGCATTTTCAATGAATTTTGGGTTATCTGGTGATACTTGTCTTGCTAAATATCTTATTTGAGTTTTATCTCGAGGGTTTTTAAAATATATTATATAACTTGAGTTTAAAGATATGTCTCTTTGTCCTTTACCCTGATGAAATAAATTTTGTGTTAGATAAAATACACTAAGATTCCTGTGATGACTACCTTTTGTAAATATATCCACAATTCTTCCATCGGACTCTCTCATTAGATCATCAATAATAACAAGATGTGGGTTTTCACCATCAAACATATTAAGATTTGGAATTCCTTGATGATAGTTAACATTTGGTAAATTATATAATGGTTGCATTTCATCAAAGCACCATGTGATCTGATTAAAATCACAATTACATATTTCTGTAACTGATTTTATGAAATTTGTTA